GGGGGGGGGGGGGGGGTCCAAATGAACGTTTTTTTAATGTGAGGGGGGACACGTCCCCTTCACATATAATGGTTGCGACGCCTATGCTGTAAATAAATAAATATAAATAGTTTTTGTGATGGTTTGTTAAATCATAACTTTTACAAATTCAAGCCCTCAGATTGTCAACTCAGTGTTTGGAAACAACAAGTTACAGACTGTATCTGGCTGAAATCAGAACTGTCAACTGCAACTAATATTTTCTTGGACTTTACCCTAAATTATTTTGCATTTCATCCTATAAAGGTCCACGATTTCTGTAAATGAACATAACACTATTCAAACAAGCGATTGAATGCATAGCATTAAATAAAAGTAGGTGAACGAAATGCAAATACACCCTAATCTGTCAATATGAAAATATTTCTGCAAAACACGCACAAAGCCACACTCAAAACAAAACAAAAACATTGGATTTATGTATTCCTGCATTGTTCTTTTTAAAAAAATCAGGATAAGTTAAACTGCTACAACGAGCTCCGAGTTTAAAGACAACACTGTGTGGGTTCGAAACAACATGAAAACACAAACTGTAATGAGATAATTTCATGTTGGCGCAGCGGTGACACATTTCGACACACAAACACGCCGCTGTCACACACACGCAGCCTGCTCATCATTCAAACTGCGGAGCTGGTTGAAGATAAAGGAAGCGCCGGATCTCACCAAAGCAGAGGGACAGCAGACATCGATTAATCTTACCTCCTCTCCTGTCAGGTAGTACGCCGAGAGCAGCCCGCCGACGTAACGGATGTTCACCTCGAAGAGTGATGCTTCGCCGTTCTGTTGAACCAGAGAGAGATCAAATTGTCAGATGTCATAATTCAGTGGAGGTCTAAGTCAGGGGGTAAAGTGGTGGTACAGAGGGGGGGAAATGAACACACTGAAGAAACGAGTTTTATTTCTCACTCCGCTCATCCGGTTATTGGTTCGGGAACTCTCTGGGGAGTACAACAGCCCAGATGTGTAGATAAATATTTCGCACAACATAGGGCGATGTGTTTGAGATGAAGCATGACGTGGGAAATATTTATGACTTCCAGATGCTCTGTTATGCATTTCATTCTTGTTTTATGCATTTTAAACACGCATAAAGTGATGTAAAACGTGTGAAAGAACCTGGATATAGTTAATGAAATGCCACGATACCTCCTCACTCTGTCTAATTTTGTTTCCTTGCATTTGCTGTTTTTTCAACTGAGCAATAAGTTATTTTGAATTTCAGAAAGTTAACTTTGAACAGAATGTGGAGTAGCCAGCCGAATGGTACTGGAACCGAGCAACAGATGTTTAAACACACTTAAAAATACATTTTATGCCCATCAGAGTTTTTAGCAGATGCAGTAGATGTCCACAGCTGCGAGCTGTTAACGAGGAAAAAAAAAAAAAAAAACTCAATATGACCGCATTGATTGATGCCTCACAAAGTTGTACTTCAACTTTTGATACCAGCAACACAGAATAGTGACATTTTTATTTTCTTTTTTGATAAATGTGTAGCCAGGAGCTCCACTAAAATGGCTCCAAACCAAAAAAAAAAAAGTTTGAACATTTCCTCATCAGATTTGTCACTGAAACAATGAGTGAACCTCTCCAAATATATCTTAAAATGTAGATGCAGTTTCTTTACATCCATTATATTGAAGTTTAAGCTCAGAAAATAAGATTAGGCGTCTCGTGCATGTCAGCACATGCAAAACATACCACTCCTGAGTTGGTGTAGATATTTTTGCTTCATGAAAGTATTTCTTCTAAGTTAATTTACACATGCAAATGGAGATCTTTATTTTTAGGAACTTGACTGTTAATAACGCACAAGTCAGGCAGCTAAAATAGCAATGACACTGAAGTGAAGTGATAATGGAGTTAAGCACAGTGTCAAAACCTAAGGGTGTGGGGGTTTATTTTAAACATTTAGGTGCCAAT